GGAAGTTAAATATTTCTTGGGATGAAAAAATACCAGAAAACATACAACAAGAATGGCGGAAAATTCGAAGCGATATGAATGATATTCAAGATTTTGAGATCCCTCGATGGATAGGGTGTAATGAAAATAAAGTTTTCGAGTTACATGGTTTTAGTGACGCATCCGAACATGCCTTTGCCTGCGTCGTTTACGCAAGGACAAAAAACCAACCTGAAGCAGTACTTTTAGCGGCCAAAACACGACTCGTACCAAATAAAAAAGAGATATCATTGCCTAGGTTAGAGTTAAATGTGGCTCATTTATTATGTAAATTGATAAATAAAATAAAACAATGTATGTGTCAACATAAAATCGAGATATATGGATGGACGGACTCCATGGTCGTTTTAGGTTGGCTTAATAGGGATCCAAGTCGTTGGAAAGCTTTCGTTGCAAACAGAGTTAAGTATATTACTACAATTATAGCTGCAAGCCATTGGAGTTACGTTAAGTCGAAGGAAAACTCCGCGGATGCTGCAAGTAGGGGGCTATACGTATCACAACTTAAAAACAACCAATTATGGTGGCACGGACCCACATGGCTACAAACATTTTCTTACCGACCTAATGAAAAACAAGTTTATCAAACAAAAGAAGAAATTCGATCAAAACAAACAAATTTTATACAGAAGGACATACATAACAGTATTATATATACATTATTAAATAAATTCAGTTCATTTACAAAAATAACTCGTATTGTAGCATGGATATTACGTTTTTTGACACCTAAGCAGAAAGGTAAACAATGGCCTAGCTACCTTACGATACGGGAACTAAAGCATGCAAAATTAGTTATTATTAAACATGTTCAGGAAAACGATTTTCAAGTGGATATAGAATATTTATATAAGTACAACACAGTGCATACGAGTAGCAAATTACGGAGTTTGAATCCGGTATTAAGTGAGGGAATACTTAAGGTTGGAGGAAGATTAAAAAACGCCAACATCCATCACGATATGATGCACCCTATATTAATACCTCATAAAAGTAGATTGACGGATCTTCTAATAGATCATGCACATAACATGACATTTCACGGTGGTCCTCGACTTACTTTAGGTTGGTTACGTCACAAATATTGGATTGTAGGAGGCAACAGCGCCGTTAAATTACGTTTACGAAACTGTGTCAAATGCAGAAAAAACAGTCCCTCTACACAACATCAATTAATGGCTGATTTACCAGAGTCAAGGGTTATTCCAGCACCACCCTTTCAACACACAGGCGTTGATTATACGGGTTTCGTTGAAATAAAGTCAAGCAAAGGACGAGGAATAAAAACTACCAAAGGATATATAGCAGTTTTTGTGTGTATGGTTACCAAAGCCATACACTTGGAATTAGTGTCCGATTTGAGCACCTCAGCATTTTTAGCAGCGCTTCGTCGCATGGCAGCGAGAAGAGGAGCTCCACGTCATATCTACAGTGATAATGGCTCAAATTTTGTAGGCGCTAATAGGATCTTGCAGGAAGAATACCAACAACTTCAACACATATTTAACAACAACCTTTTGATGGAGCTTTCAGAGTTGAACATCGAATGGCATTTCAATGCTCCCTCGTGGCCAAGCGCTGGAGGTTTATGGAAGAGAGCTGTGCGCAGTTTAAAACATCACCTGAAGCGTGTGGTTGGTGATCAAAAGCTAACATACGAAAAATACTCAACAGTTTTGAGTCAGATAGAAGCGTGCTTAAACTCAAGACCCTTGTGTCCGCTAACTGAAAACGTAGAAGATTTGGAGTTTTTGACACCTGCACATTTTTTAACAACAAATGTAGGTTCCACCATAATAAAAACGCCCGAAGATGCCAGGACAAGATGGCAGCTTACAAAACAAATATTTCAAGGTGTGTGGAAAAGGTGGAAAGCGGAATACCTTACTCAATTATCTAGTAGGAGTAAGTGGCTAAGACCGCGACCAAACATGAAGATCGGTGATATGGTCATCATTCAAGACGACAACTTACCACCAGGAAAATGGGCGATGGGACGAGTAGTAGAACTTCACCCAGGTAGCGATGGACATGTAAGAGTGGTAACATTAAAAACAAAAAACGGTAATCTTAAAAGACCAGTCAGTAAACTGTCATTACTACCCATTGAAACATCATCACGACAAAATGCACAAAAAGACAGGTCGAACAACTTTGCACAGAAAATAACCCATAAACAAGAAAATAAGCTACAAGGCACCCGCTCCAAATTCAGCTCTATGGTTATGAGTTTAATGTTTTTTATATGTTTATTTACACCAGCATTTAGTACAAGCTCATACAATATTACAACTTTTAATAATAACCAGTCAATTTACTTCGATCCGATAGGTAAAATGCAGATAATCCAGGATAAATGGACACTTATTGTGTATTACAACTTAGATCCTTATTGGGAAGGAATTAAAGCATTTGAAATATTTTTAAAACATTTAAACGAAAGATGTATGAACATAAATGCAGATCACTTATGCCATATGATATTGTTACAACTACAGCACGAGTTCTCGGAACTGCAATACTACAATGAGCTCCTATTGAATCAGCATTTCGTCGGACGCTCCAGACAGCGACGGGGACTTGTGAATGGAATAGGCTACTTGGCAAATAGTTTGTTCGGCGTATTGGACGAACGTTTCGCGGAACAGTATAGTAAGAATATTGAACATGTTAGACAAAACCAAAACTATTTATTGAATTTATGGAAGAACCAAACGTCTGTATTGGAATCTGAATATAATTTATTAAAACGTACCGAAGGTTTGGTAGCCAAACAACATAAAATTATTAACAGACAATTGATAAACTTGGAAAAACAGACCAACAACATCCAAAAGGAAATAAAAAATATGTCAATGGCGCAAGATTTTACTATGTCTTCTTTAATAGCCAGCAATATGCTTCAAAATATAAAAATCACTCAGGAGAATCTTCTTGAAACTATAACAGACATATACCATGGTCAATTTAACATTCATTTATTAACAGCCGAACAACTTCGAGAAGAACTCCACATAATCTCTGGTCATTTAACAGAAGATATAACATTACCAATAGAAAATATACAACAAGAAGTTTATAAAATTTATAAACTACTTAAGGTCAAAGCTAGAATGATGCAGAAATATCTTATATTCGAGGTAATATTTCCCCTTCTGAATAGACACAAATACAAATTATACAAAATTATAACAATTCCTCACCAGGTAGAGAATAATATAGAGATAAGCATTTTTCCAATTGCAGAATACACAGCTATTAGTTTACGAAAGGATACTTATTTAAAAATCACAAACAAGGACTTATATTTATGTTTACATGAGAAGGATGTTTATTTGTGTCCTATCCGACAGCCCATTTACCATCTTTCAGAAGACAAGAATTTTTGCCAATTAGATCAAACAACAAGTAGATGCAGGATCTATAAGACATCTTGTACAAGTAAATGGCTACCGCTGAATAACCCTTCACAATACCTATTCCACTGCTGCAACACATATGATGTTAAAATTATTTGCTCTGATCGTGTAATTGGGGAACGCCTAACTAAAGCAGGAGTGATATCTCTCGATAAGGGATGTTTGCTAAAAGGTCAAGATTTTACGTTGCTCTCCCACCAAATTTACACCCATCAAATTGAAATGAATAAGGACTTAATTCTTCCAAAAATTGACCCATTGAATAACATCATCAAAATAAGCATACCTTTAGAAACATTTGACGAAAATGACACCAACTTATCAGATTTGAACAGTTCCTTACATAACGTAGACCGTCAAATAAAAGACCTGAAAAAGAATAACGTACAATTAACAACATTATCGTCGCACGACATCCATCACTATGCAATCAACTACGTGTTAATCGAAGTGGCAGCAGTGTTGGCGGCGGTGTTCGTGTGGAGATGGCGGCGGCGGCGGCGGCGTGCACCCATCTCCCCAGACTTGGAGCTGCAGTCGGCGAGTAGTGTTAGTGCGGTGAGTGCGCGAAATCAAAGAAAGGCTTACCGTAAGCCTAGTGTTTTCACAGTGAGTGCTAGTGCGCGAAATTGTGATGTTGACCGTCAACATATGGGCAATATAGGTGATGTGTCGTGTGAAATTGAAAAACAAAACAAAGCGTGTTCTCCCATACCGCAAAGACATTTTAATATCTAATTATAAAAATAATTGTTTAATAATAAGTTAGATACTGTAACCATTTTCATCTTACAAATAACAATCATTCACTAGGTTAAATTACAAATTGTTTATCACCTTGTTACTTAAATAAGATCATCTCATCAATCACATATCACCTAACTTACATTATAATCATCTCTTCACATTTTGGCCCGGCAGCATGTACGGTCCAACCGTACATTTCTGCTGGCGTTAACATTTTACGCAATGTATAGCGATTGCATTGCGTAGTTGGACAATTATAAAAACTGAGTTAGTTCACGTTTTCACCGTAAACGCGACGGACGCGAACTCATCAACATAACATTTAACATTAACATTTAGCATTATTCAAAATATTTTAATCTTATATTTTTTACTTGTTTATTAAACTGTTTTAACATAAAATCTAAATTATTATTGAACAGTCGTCCATTACCCGAACAGCCTCTTTTTTTTGTTCCACACACTTCTTCCGCTGCACTTACCATTCCATCCCTAAGGTTCTGCCATGTTCTTTCTACACATTATTTTCTGCCATTGATGGTGTCAAGCTTTTCATCTACCCTCGCATGATATTTGTCCCTAGTATCCGCTTCCTGAAGCTTCCCGCTTCGGATGCGACAGACCGACTGTGGTTCTGTTACTGCCGTCCGGTAGCGCCAACCCGCGAACAGATCCCTAAATCTAGTAATCACTAGATAATGATCCGTGTTGGGAACCGGTTGCATGTACGCGCGGGTGGAGACGCGCGGGAGGACGTCTCGTCGAGCGGCAGCGACGCGGCGGCAGGAGGTTGGAACGATACTCCACCGCGGTCGGACGACAACACTCATTTAATTTATAATAATAATTTTATTAAGTAGACCGGGTTATTGTAAAGTACGGATGATTATATCAGCCCTATAAGAATATACAGTCCACTTTCATTTAACCACGTCACCAGGACCCTAACATTGGTCCTTTAGGATTCTCACCGTCTTACATAATACGGTCTTCGCCACGTCTCCGAGCTCTTAAGTGTGGTCTTCAGCTGCGAAATTATACTTCTGCACGGGCCTTCGTGAACCATCACATCCTGCGGAAGATCCTTCAAAGCAACTCGCACGCTCGTGAGCCGGGAACCATCTTGAATTCGACCGTGCCACGGACTTTGGACCCATCGAAAGTTCGAGTAGTCATTGGTGAGCCCGTTCCAATTATTCCTGTGATCTTTTCCTTCTTTTTCATACATTTAAATTTAAAAAAGCCTTTATTTTTAGTGAGTGCTTTTAGTCATATATGCTTAAACACTATCTAATCTCTTCCATAATAACACGTACTTACTTCTAAAATCAAATTATTGCATAAGCCCAGCAACAGCATTGCGCTCGAATAACGGGATCTTGTTTACGCAAATCGCTCGCTTCTTATCCATATCTACCTGAGCCGGCCGGCCGAGTCGCCACTTGCCCATCTGTTCCTTTGTTCGCACACCAAGGTCAAGTTCACGCTGCATTTTATAACTACTTTGCGTTATAACTTTTGTTTTTCTTAAATATTTCATTACCGCTTTGTCATGGCCGAAGAAAAAATACAAAAATTAATTAAATTACGTAGTTCTATTAAATCTAAGGTTACTATATTTAATAAATACGTAAAAGTATTGCAATCAGGCGGCCCCCCTAGCGATTTACAACTGCTAGACTTAGAAGGTCGTTTTAAAAAATTCGATGCCTTATACGCGCAATATGACGAATTACAGAGCCAGATCGAGGTGCTTTCAGACGACAGTGATGCTCAAGAGCTAGAGCGCGAGGAGTTCGAGGGCCAGTACCACTCGCTGGCGGCGGCGGCGCGCAGCGTGCTCGGCGCGCGGCTCGCGCGGCAATGCGAGCAGCCGCTGAATCGTTCCTTATCGAGCTACGAGGATGCAAGCTTACAGCAAACAGGTGCCTTTAAATCCAATTGCGTCAGATTGCCCAAAATTGATTTACCAGTCTTCAACGGTCACTATCAACACTGGCTTGAGTTTAGGGACACTTTCATATCTTTAATACATTCGAGACAAGATATTGATAACATTAATAAACTGCATTACCTTCGCGCGTCTCTTAGAAGTAGCGCTTTGCTTGTTATCGATAACTTAGATTTCAAAGTCGAAAACTATAATTCTGCGTGGAATTTATTGTGTAGCAGGTACGACAACAAACGCTTACTGGTCAATAACCACGTAAGGGAACTATTTAATGTGGAGCATATGCGCAATGAATCCTGCAAGGGTATTCGGCGCCTTATTGACGTTACGAAAAAAAATCTTCGTGCCTTGACTACCCTAGACCAGCCGACACAGCATTGGGATACACTCATAATTCACATGATGGCTAAAAACTTGATAGTGTCACTCATAGAGAATGGGAAGAATATAGAAATACTCTTAATAATCCTCCTTCGTTAGAAACATTTACGACGTTTCTCAGCAATAGGGCAGACCTTTTGGAGACTTTGCAAGAAAGTAAAAATAAACCACAAAAATATGAAACTTACAAAACTAATACAAATTTACTTATAGCTACAAACACTCTAAGGGAAAAACAAAACTTCAACAAAAAAAAAAACCACTTATTTAATAAAAAAATATTTACATGCCCATTGTGTAATCAAAATCACTTTCTATTCACCTGTGAAATATTCAGAGCCCTTCCTATTGAAATTCGTATACAAAAAGCTAAAGAGTCAAACGTCTGTCTTAATTGTTTACGACCTGGGCACTTAAAAAATAATTGCAATTTATCTTCATGTAAATATTGCAAGAAAAGGCATAATACGCTATTGCACTTGCATGAGCCACAGCCGATCCCTGAGCCTGCTATGCCATCAACCAGCAGCATTAACCACTTCGCAAATTCAAGCGAGTCAAAGCAGGTAGCTACTCCACCGCTTGTTTTGCTTTCCACAGCGCTGGTAAAGGTGCTGGACGGCACCGGCGCCGCGCACTCCGCCCGCATGCTGCTCGACAATGGCAGCACGGCTAACTTCGTTACGCAATCGCTCTGCGGTAAGCCGGGTTTGTCGCGACGTAGCGTGAGCTCCACGGTGACAGGTATAAACAGTAATTCATCTCATATTACACAGTCTTGCAGCCTTAACATTAAGTCGCTTCTTAATGACTATAGCCTTACTGTAGACTGCCTTATTTTGCCTGAGATCACTAAAGCTTTACCGTCTTCTTTCATAGACATACAAAATATCCCTCTTCCGATGGGAATAAGTTTTGCCGACCCTTCCTTTAACATACCGTCGGCTATAGACATCTTAGTGGGTGCCGAAGTATTTTGGTCCGTCTTATGTAATAATTCCATTGACTTGGGCAAAAATCAGCCTAAGTTGTATGAGACAAAACTGGGTTGGCTGGTGTCCGGGCATGTCGCCCGTCTTAAGACACCGTCTTCGTCTCCCGTTTGTCACTTTATAAGCGAGGATTCCAATCCAGACTTAACTCGTTTTTGGGAGTTAGACACTGTGGCAGCAAAACACTCTTTGTCTCCTGAGGAGCGTGCCTGCGAGCAGAGCTTTTTAACAAACACCGGACGCAGCGAGAACGGTAGCTTTGTCGTCTCCATGCCGCTAAAGAACGATCCGTCAGTCTTAGGAGAATCCTTTCAAATGGCCAAGTGCCGTTTCTTATCTTTAGAGCGCAAATTTCTTCGGGAGCCTGTTTTTAAGGATATGTACATGGAGTTCATGCACGAATATGAACGCCTAGGTCACATGACTGAAAACAAAGAGTCTTCATTTGGCGACTTACAACAGCTCAATTATTTTTTACCTCACCACGGAGTCATCCGTGAGTCCAGCCTTACCACCAAGCTTCGCACAGTCTTCGACGCTTCCGCCGTATCTAGTTCTGGATTGTCGCTTAACGACATTCAAATGGTAGGGCCGACTGTACAAGAAGACCTTTATTCTATTTTATTACGTTTTCGCCAGCATAAATACGTCATTACTGGAGATATAGAGAAAATGTACAGAGCGATTGAGCTTAATCCTGCCCAACGCTCACTTCAACAAATCATATTTAGGTATGACTCATCACACCCGTTAAAAACGTACACCTTAAACACGGTGACTTATGGTACGGCGTCTGCCCCATACTTAGCCACGAAGTGTTTGGTGAGCTTAGCATCCAGCGCTCTCGATAGCGACGTAAAGCAGTCGATTCAACGCGATTTTTACATTGATGATTATTTAGGCGGATCGTCGACTATTGACGACACTATCAAGCTGTGCAAAGGAGTTATTAATACACTTAAAACTGCAAATTTCAATTTACGCAAATTTCAATCAAATAACAAATTAATTTTACATCACGTTTCATCTTCATTACAATCAGATAATGTCTTAGACATAGCAAACAGCGATAGTAATGTTTCTTCTAAAACTTTAGGTCTAAATTGGATTTGCGATTTAGACATTTTGTCATTTTCAATCAATATCGAACTTCGGGACAAAGTGACAAAACGTCACATACTTTCCGTTATAAGTCAGATCTTCGACCCATTGGGTCTCGTGGGCCCCTGTGTCATCGAAGCAAAGCTCATCATGCAGAGGCTATAGATCGAACGACGCTCATGGGACGATGAGGTTTCAACGGAAATAAAACGTTCATGATTTTCGTTCGCCGACACCTTACCACTTCCTAACCACTTAAAGGTTCCTCGGTGGGTACTTCAAGACCATTCAATATTCCATGAAATTCATGTGTTTTCGGACTCTTCTGAGCGAGCATATGGGGCTTGCGTCTACATTCGCTCTATAGACGCATCAGGCTCTATCAAAGTACAACTTTTGACTTCTAAAAGCAAGGTAGCGCCAATAAAGCCAACAACTATTCCGCGCCTGGAACTTTGCGGATCGTTAGTGGCTGCAAGACTGTGTAACAAAGTATTAACCTCTTTAACACTACATATCAGCAAGTGTAGATTCTGGTGTGACTCAACTATTGTTTTAGGGTAATTAAAAACATCACCTACTAACCTTAAAAGTTTCGTAAGGAATCGTGTACATGAAATTCAGGAATGCACAGAGGGTCACACGTGGAGCTACGTACCGTCGAAGGACAATCCGGCGGATCTTGTTTCCCGTGGGCTGAAGGCTGATCTCATTAGCGGTTCAGAATTGTGGTGGTCAGGGCCACCTTTCTTAACAGACATTGAAACTAATTGGCCACAAGTGCCCAACGTCGGCGTGAAACAGAATCTACCAGAGTTGATCACCTGTTCCTTCGCGCTTAACAATTCTAATGCAGACTTAATATCTAACTTAATCAAAAACAAATCTAATTTAACAAACTTACAAAACACTATAGCATATTTACAAAGATTTATTTACAACTGTAAGAACCCGAAAATGCAAATGAAAGAACATTTTTCAGTTCAAGAGCTTCAAAATTCCTTAAATTTTATTATTCTTAAATCTCAATCTGAGATGTTTCCTGACGAATATACTCTTCTTAAAGCCGGAAAGGCGCTTCCTAACAAAAATCGACTTATAGCTTTAAGCCCATTTCTCGATGCTAATAACATAATAAGGGTTGGTGGAAGACTCGATAACTCCCCTTACAATTACGACACAAAGCACCCAATTTTGTTATGCAGCAAACATCATTTCACTAAGCTTATGTTTGAACATTTTCATCTAAAATATTTACATGCACCGCCACAACTTCTGTTAGGAAATATTAAGCAAACTTATTGGCCCTTAGGTGGCAAAAACCTAGCTAAAGCTACAGTGAACAAATGTATGCGATGCTTCCGGTACAGGGCGGAAACTGTTCAGCCCATCATGGGCCAGCTCCCCGCCTCGCGTACCGAACTAGTGTTTCCCTTTCTTCATTGCAACGTCGACTACGCCGGGCAGTGTTGATAGCAGACCGTAAGGGCAGAGGTTGTAAACTTATTAAATCTTTTTTGGCAATCTTTATTTGCAGTTCGGTAAAGGCCTGTCATATTGAGCTCGTTACGGCACTATCCAGCGAAGCATATATTGCCGCTTTAAATCGCTTTGTGTCCCGTCGCGGAAAGCCCAAGAGCATCACGTCATATAACGGTTCGAATTTTATCGGTGCAAGCAACGAGCTGGCTCAATTTCTTCTTCAATCGGAACTTGAAGGTCAAATGGCTCATGAAGGCATCGAATTTAAATTTATTCCCGCTTATACCCCTCACTTTAATGGCTTAGCTGAAGCAGCAGTACGCTCTACAAAACACCATCTTAAGCGTTTATTACAAAACACTCATTTAACTTATGAGGAAATGGCTACATGCCTCACTCAAATGGAGGCTGTTTTGAATTCTCGGCCCCTCACCCCTATTTCCACTGATCCCTCAGATTTCTCCGCATTGACTCCTGCCCACTTTTTGATTGGACGCTCACTAATTGCTATCCCTCAACCACAAATAGGTGATGCGAATATAACCCGCCTTGATCGATTCAAGAGAATCGAGCTTATAAAGCAGCACTTTTGGAGCCGATTTTCACTAGAGTATGTCAATCTGCTCCAGCAAAAGGTAAAATGGCGGTCGTCAATCAAGGAGCTGAAATTGGGATCTCTTGTTCTTGTCAAGGAAAGAGCTCTCCCACCATTGATGTGGTCCTTAGGACGAGTCATGCAGCTCTATCCTGGCAGCGACGGCGTTTCCAGAGTCGCCGAGTTGAAGACAAGGAGAGGCACAATTCGAAGAGCCTTTAATAACATCTGTCCCCTTCCAGATTTTTGAAGTTCTCTGCACACTTCAACCCGGGGAGCATGTTGGGAACCGGTTGCATGTACGCGCGGGTGGAGACGCGCGGGAGGACGTCTCGTCGAGCGGCAGCGACGCGGCGGCAGGAGGTTGGAACGATACTCCACCGCGGTCGGACGACAACACTCATTTAATTTATAATAATAATTTTATTAAGTAGACCGGGTTATTGTAAAGTACGGATGATTATATCAGCCCTATAAGAATATACAGTCCACTTTCATTTAACCACGTCATCAGGACCCTAACACACATATATTTATTTAAAGAAATAAACCTAGGCGTTTTGATACCGTGGATAAGGGTAATATTGTGAGTTACATTGTAATATTGTTATATTATAAACCTGGACGCATGATCAATAATTATCATTGTCAGATACCTACTGCCATCTGAGTGTGAATCTTAAAGTCGCAAGTCTCAAATTTGCGCCCGTATCAAGAAAATTATAACTTTTGATTATTATTGAATTAGGAACGGACATTTACAACAACTCTGAAACAGTGTTATGTTTTTTTATATGTGATGATATTTTTTTACGTAAAATAAGATATTATAATAAAAAAGTCATCGACTTATAACCGATACATTATAAATTTATACAACATAAACCAAATGTCAACCGTCAAAACTAAACCAAGAACCACTATCTCACCAAAGTCACACAATTGCACTATAGATTAATGGCTTTATAGATGCTACGATTTACTTCCTGGGCAGCTAAGAACATAGGCGGAATCTTAGAAAATAAGTCCTACATCTCTTTTACCTATTTCCGTTGCCAAATAGCAGAGAATGCACATCTGTGTAAGTATAATTACAGGCTGTGAGGCATTCTATCTTAGTCCTGTACTAACAACGGATGTGTAGCCGTAATAAAAGAAGTCATTATTATGTCTTATTTTCAACAAATAAGTCGGAAAATATAGGATTCAGCAATCAGGCAACGGTTCAAATGGTTTTAATTAAAATGAGGGGAAATTAACTGATAAGAGTAATGATAAATGACAGGTTTTTACCAAGGGTATTCATATTTCGATATTACAGACTGATATAGGTTATATCGACGCAATCTTTTCTTTCCAGTGCGCCTAAACACCTCTTCCAAATACCAGAATGGCGGCACAAAATCTCGGTAGAACTAAACCACGCTCTCTGTCACGTTCTTTAACGCGAACGGCCTTAGAGACAAAAAGACAAGATCACGATGTAGACGTAATTTTTGTGCAAGAGACTTTTTTGAAACCTAGCCATCGCGATCCTAAGATCACAAACTACATCTTAGAAATTATAGGCTGACCAGCCCTAGAGGCGGCACCTTGATGATTGACCTTTTGATTCTACTACAAAAGGTTGTTGCTCGGCGTACCAATCGACATTCGACACCCTCCCGCTAACTAACATAGAAGTTTTCAAATTTAAAGTAGCCCTCTCTGGCCACCCGCGATAAACTATAGTTTCGGCGTAGCTACCGCCGCTCAAACACGTAATCGAATCTAACATCACAGATTAACTCAACCTGGGCTCCGGTGTTATAAGAGCTGGAGACCTTAACAGTAAGCATTCCTCCTGGAACTTGCTTACAAGCAATCACTATGGTAATGCATTGTTTGATCTCACGGAGCGACTAAACTTCGATGATATCGCGCCTGAGACTCCAACCCGCTACCCATTCGCTACCAATCACCAACCGAACGTCCTTGGCGTATCGATAATCAAAGATGTCCGTTTGTCGATAGCATCAATCGAAACTATTTTAGAACTCATCTCGAACCACATACCAGTCCTATTGCAACTAGGTCATTCCGCAGGTCCTTCTGACATTGTAGACTGGCGTAAGCTCGAGGTCAAACTCGAGTCTGCTACCTCCCAGCACTTAGACAAAATTCCCGATAAGATAGAGTCGTTTGGGGAGGCCAATGCGGCGATTAGCGCTTTATACGCCTACCCCACCTCTACAGTTGAAGAATGCTCTCGTAGGGTTCGTGTGTCGAGCAATCGACACATGAAGCTTCCAAGTGATATTCGGCACCTAATTAGGGCGAAGAACGCGGCCTTAAGACATTACGATTACTATCGTACTATAGACAACAAAATCCAACTGCCTAATCTCTAAAACGAGGTGAAAGAGCGCGTCAAAGAGTTTAGACATGACAAGTGGGATAATCTCCTGGAAGATATTGAGCTACCTCAAACCGTTCACCCGAGCTCTGAAAGCAGAACAATCCTTACCTATGCCGTCTCTCATCAGGCCAGGAAACCCCGATCTCGCCTTCGACGATTCTTAAAAGACCGAATACCTCACCGACAGTTTAGAGAGCCAATGTACTCCCTCTAGCGAACCCACAGATCCCGCTCACCTTGCAGAGGTCGTTGTGGAGGTCGAGCGTAAGTCTGCACTACCACCTGCGGGCAATCCCTTAGATCCTGTGAATGCCGACGAAGTCATAGAAGTAACCAAAAGCCTTAAAAAGAAATCAGCACCCGGCCCCGACGACATTAGCAACAGGGTACTGAAATCTCTCTCCGCGCCGCTCATTTGCCTCCTAGTAGGCATATTCAATGCTCTTTTTTCAAGCTGCTCCTTTATGGATGCATGAAAAGAAGCAGACGTAAAAGAATCCTGAAACTGGGGAAATTGCGCAACTTAGCCTCTAGTTACAGACCAATTATTCTCCTCAGCACACTGGGGAAAGTTTACGAGCGACTCATATTTAATCGCCTTCGCAAACACGTCTCCGCCAACAAACTTCTTCCAGGTGAGCAGTTCGGTTCCAGACCCAAATACTCTTGCACTGACTTGCATCGCCTCACAGAATACATTCTGAAAAGATTAAACCTCCCACAAAGAAGTCGCATAACCACCATGACCGGTGCCGTCTTTTTCGATGTCGCGAAAGCGTTTGATATAGTCTTGCACGACGGTTTGCTTTACAAGATGTATTAACTCAACGTGCCTGATAGGCTTACCCACATCATCAGAGCCTTCCTTGCTAATCGCCACTTTCGCTATCGAATAGAGGGTACTCGCGCCACAAAACGCCCCATCAAGGCTGGAGACTTACAAGGCTCCGTTCTCTCCACACTACTATTCACACTCTTCACGAGTGACATCCCAAAAGACTAAGTAGTGAATACTGCTCTCTTAGCCGGTGACACTTTTCGGAACTTTTCGTTGCTTATCACAATAAAACAATCCTAACCGAGAAACACCAAATAGTAGTCAACCACTTAGGCGATTGGTTTCGTTTATGGAGAATCGAAGTGAATCCTGAAAAAAGTGTATCAATACAATTTCAACGGATCTCCACTTCCAAGCGTTATTTCAGATACCCCAAGAAATCGTTAGGTACAATCACCCTATACGGTCGCCTGATCCCCTGGCAACCAACGGCCAAGTATCTAGGATTCACATTCGATGAAGGTATAACATTTGCGAAATACATTCGCAATGTTCGCAGTCGAGCAAAAATCGTCACACACAAAGTTAAGACACAAGCTCCATCTGTACAAAGCATGCGTAAGACCTATTATGTCCTACGCAAGCGCAGTTTTCACGTACGTGACCCATAGACACTTGTACTATCTCCAAGTCGTCCAAAATAGATTCATTCGCATGGCCACTGGATCCCGATGGTACCAGCGAATCTCCAACTTACATAGAATTCAATATAAATAAAATGAGAACATCATCAATGTAGTGAAAGTAAATTAAATACGCATTATTAAGGAGAACTCAAAAACGAGCTGTCAGATCTTAATCAAATTTATATGAGATCACATGAGAAATACCAGCTTTCAAATAAAAAATAATCATCAAAATCGATTCACCTAGAAAAAAGTTCTAAGGTAATAATACTCATTAAAAATACAGTCGAATTGAGAACCTCCTCCTTGTTTCTAATATTGTTGAAAATTACAGTATGCCTTTAACGCTGCTTCCTATTGGCGATCTAGGTATTTTATGCCTAGCAAACACCCTTTCATTAGCATGAGCTGTGGTAGGTCAGGGACTAAGCGCTCGCTATTAAATTTCACAGCACGCGAGCAACTTGGGTTCTACCACACTCTCTTAAGAAACAACTATTCATTCATAACAATTAAATCAATTAAATTAAATTAATACATAATGTTGCTATGCCCTATCAGGGCTCATGTTTGGCTCTATTATATCCAACATAAGAACTTGCGAACAGCATAAATTTTTAATTACATCATATAATAAAAATTGTTCGGTAATTCGGTGCTCTTCAATAAAACTCTTCTTTATGACGAATACTTATAATTTCTTCCAATAAATATATATATATGACAAAACTGTATTAATCCTCGTTACAATAATGATGTAGATATAGCCGCGTTAAGTATAATAATGCACGGCGGTAGTTTTTGCCAGCCAGTCCGTCTCAGCCGTCCTCCCGCGCCCGCGCGTCGCACCTCCTTTTTGGTCCAGCAAGGGTGGGCGTAAACATCTTCCCCCCCCCTCGAAGACTGTGGGATTTCGAGGTATCTTCTTGGTCATTGCTCGTTGGGCAATGGACAGAGGTTTGTAACTGCACGCCGGATGACACCCTTTGAAGTGTTGACATCTGCTACGCGTGCAACGCCATCGGTCCCTGGATACAGCCGATGGATGCGTCCCATGCGCCATTTGAGTGGTGGTAAATTGGGCTCCTTGAGTACCACCATATCGCCTTCGGAAATTTGTCCTTGACTAATGCGCCACTTTGATCGCTGCTGCAGCTCATTTAGAAATTCAGTGCGCCATCTCTCCCAAAACTGCTGACGTATCTGATCGATGAGTTTATATCTAGCCAGATATCTTGGGTTTGTATCGATTAGTACGGGAGATGGTAGTGAAGTGAGCGGCTTGCCGATCAGGAAGTGCCCTGGACACAATGGGTATAAGTCTGTCGGATCGGATGATAGGGGAGTTAAGGGCCTGGAGTTTAATATTGCCTCAATCTGTGAAAATAAAGTCGCTAACTCCTCAAAAGTTAAATGCGTATTCCCTACCATACGTATTAGATGGTGCTTAGCTGCCTTAACACCGGCTTCACTAAGTCCGTTGAAATGCGGAGAATAAGCGGGCGAGAACTTGAATTTTATGAATTCTCCGGCAGCATATGACGAGATTGATTCACTACATGATTCAAGAAATCTTTTGAACTCATTATTTGCGCCCACAAGATTTCGTCTAT